GGCAGGCCTGGGAGCCCGTGCTGTGGGAGGGCCGGGTCTCCATCAGCCCCAGGGCTGGTGACCAGGACTCGTGACTGTGACGGGATGATGGCACAGGACTTCACTGTTCCTCCTGATTCAGGACGCCTGCTGCTGGGGACCTGGAAACCTCAATAGGAAACCCATGGGCCCAGCCGATGGCGTCCAGGGTTCATCTCTGAGTGCCTGCTGGGGGTCTGCGGTGACCGCGCTCTTGGGTCTCATCTGTTCACTGGAGCAGAACGTCCGGCCAAGGCCGGGTCTCAGCCACTGAGACGGGAGCTGCAGCTTCCTGGGCTGAGCCTTCTGGGACCAGCAGGCAGGGGCGGCCTGGCTGGTCTGACCCAGAGCCAACGGTCAGAGCAGGGAATCAATTAGATCAACGTTTTGAATGGAGATACCAGCTCCCAGCCCAAGTGGGGGGCGTAGCTTATAGAATGATTTACCTAACAGCACACGAGGTAAGTGATGGCCTGGAAAGCGTTCTTTCCCCTTTTCCTCCAGGCCTTCCGAAGAGCTCTCCGCTTCGCTTTCCGTCTCTCTCTTTTCTCAGCGTGGATCCCTGTGCGCGGCTTGAACTCACGACCCTGAGATCAGGACCCGAGCTGAGATGGGGAGTGGGACGCTCGACCGACTGAGCCCCCCAGGCGCCCCTGCTTTCCCTTTACATGTTTCTATTTCCTCTCTCTGTCCTTACTTGGCCACATACGAAATTTAAAATATCTTTTATTTCTTTTTTTTTTAAGATTAAAAAAAAAAAAGATTTATTTAAATGATCTCTATGCCCAGGATGGGGCTAAAACTCAAGTCCCAAGATCAGGCGTTGCACTCGCCACCTACGGAGCCCGCAGGGCGCCCCGAGGCATTTTTTAAATATTGAAGGAGGGAGGTGGTCCTAGTTCCCGGTGTTAAGGCAGGAGAGTTCGGAGTAGAACCAGCGAACGAGTGCAGGGTGTTCCGTGGCCCTCGCTGTTCACGGAGGACAGAGAGTGGAGGGATGGAGCAGTTTTGCCTCATTAAGAGAAGCAGGGGCAGGTCGGGCAGGGCTGGGCTGCCAGGGCTCGGGGAGAACTGGTCCCTCGAGGGTGCCACTGTCAGCACAGGCCTCGGAGCCTGCTGGCTGTCTGCGCCCCGGCTTGGCCACCTGCTGGGGACTTAGCCCGGAGCAGGTGTTTGCCTCTGGTGGTGTCAGACGAGCGCTTGACGACGTGGCTGGTTCACGGGGGTGCTGCGTGAATGTGGCTTTTTACGGTATTACAGTCCTTTCTGAGGACAGCGGGGCAGTATGTATCTAAGCCATTAAAGTGTTGTGATTCTGGGGACCTCTGGGGGGCTCAGTGGGTTAAAGCCTCTGCCTTTGGCCCAGGTCGTGATCCCAGGGTCCTGGAATCAAGTCCCGCATGGGGCTCCCTGCTCAGTGAGGGGAGGGGGCTGTGCTTCTCCCCCTACCCCTCCCCCTGCTTGTGTGCTCTGTCAAATAAATAAAAAATCTTAAAAATAACTAAAAATGTGATTTTTGAGCCAGTTTTTTTTATTCTTGAGGAAGTATCTCAAGGAATTATTTCAAAAAAGAAAAACAGATGAGGGGCTCCTGGGTGGCTCAGTAGGTTAAAGCCTCTGCCTTCGGCTCAGGTCATGATTCCAGGGTCCTGGGATCGAGCCCCATATCGGGCTCTCTGCTCAGTGGGGAGCCTGCTTCCTCCTCTCTCTCTGCCTGCCTCTCTGCCTACTTGTGATTTCTGTCAAATAAATAAATAAAATCTTTAAAAAAAAAACCAAAACATGATAACTTTGGACCAAGGTTTCGACACCATCGTATTTACACAGCAAATAACGGGAAACAACCCAGAAGGCCAGCGAGAGGCCGCTGGCCCAGTGCCCGCCCCATCGAACGTTCTGCGCGGTGAGAGGCCCGGCCGGACATGGACGGTCCGTGCTCGGCGAAGCACCCATGAAGTAGCCCTCGGGGAGAAAAAAGGTCCCGGACCCATATGAGTTTTGATGACTTGGGTAGCGTTGGGCACGTGTGACCCAGCTGTTGTGTTTGGGGTTAGAAACGCCTCCTTAAGATTCAGTTTTAGGTACTTTAAAGTAGGTTGGTCACTAAACACATTGTGTCTTTGAATTTGGTGTTGGACGTGATGGCGAGGGCGTGCGCTCAAGCTCTGTGTACGGGCTCGGAGCCCCGCGTCCTTCCCAGGGCCCTGCGGCCGTGCTCAGCTTCTCTGCCGGGCGCTGGCGTCCACAGTCCCGACACCTCCCAGAGGCTTCCGAAGGGCTGTCACTTGTACCTCAGTGCCTCTCAGCACGTAGTAGGCACTCAAGAAACACTCACTGGGTTATTACATACGTGTGCATACATGTGTGTATACGTGTGTACATGTGTATATGTTTGTATATGTATATGTGTGTGTACGTGTGTGTATATCTGTATGTGTGCACGTGTGTGTACGTGTGTGTGTATGTGCGCGCACGCGCGCGTGTGTGTGTACTGGAATTTTCTTCTCCCCTCTTGGGCAGGGTCCTCATTTGGGAACCGAGGAGGGAGAGGGCAGGGATTATCGTCGCTGCCACCAGCAATTCGGGGCAGCAAACGACTTGCTTTTGGGTTTAGATTCCCGGGCCTCTTGCCCAGGCACGTCAAGGTTCTAGTGACAGACGCCTCTCCTGAAAGGAGCGTGTGCTGTGTCACCCTGAGAACCCCGGCTTCGTGGGGGACATGCTGTTATTCACATCACGCAGCCGGGGTGAGCACAAGCCGACATGACCCCGTGTGCAAATGCACAGACACAGGGAAATGTTTGCTCCTGCGGTTGCAGCGAAAATCACACAGGAATTGCGGAAAATCTCCCTCTCGATATGTGATATGCTCGTACTTCTAAGGGGTCTGAGGGCCTCTTAAGCCCTCAGTGCTCGTGACTGTGGTGAGGTGCGAGTGGGGGAAGCTCCCGTTTTACCTGTGACCTTGGACAAGCCTCTTCCCGGCTCCGGGCCACCATCACCACGGGCCCTCTGGCTCCCAACAGTCTAGAGCTCGTGAGGCCAGGGTGGGTGACTTCCTCAAACGCTGCTTGAACCCACGAGTGTCCCTGTGCTTGGTGTGACAGCAGGGGTGTTTGGGGCGCTGACTGTGCGTCTGGTCCTGGTTCCCGCTGCTCCTGGAAGAAGGCTGAGTGTCCACTCTGTGCTCTCCCCGGGGGCAGGGGTTGATGGCCGCAGGCAGCCAGAGGCTGTGACGTCGGGCTTGACAGCTGCACCCCGTTGTCCCAGAGGGGCTGCTGACCGGCTGTTTGAGGTCACAGGAGACCTGCAGATCCTTTGGTGGCTCCTCTGTGATTTGTAAAGGGGGCTTGGAACGGGATGGTTTCATGAACTGTTTTTATCCTGAAACTCCCTTCCCAACCTGAGAAGACCCCAGGGTGCCCATCACCCCTTCTTCTCAAACCTAGCCATGTCCCCAGGCTGTGCCCTGCAGCCCCCGCCTCCCCCCCCCCCGCCGCCCCGCCCCCAGTCCCTGGACCGCCGGTGGGAGCGGGCACGGCGCTGGTGGAGGCTCTGGCCACCAGAGGGCGCTCTCACGACACAGAACCCCGCGGCGTCCTGCGCTGGGGAGCCCGCCCGGACTCCACGAGGCCACCCTCTGCTGGAGTGAGTCTCAGCCTGGGACAATTTCCTCCCCCTAGGGACAGCTGAGAGCATCTGCTGGCGTCCGGAGGCCAGGGACAGATGTTGTCAGCAACCCAGGACGCACAGCACAGCTCCCACCACAGCAGAATAGACCCCCAGATGGCCACGGTGCCAAGGCTGGGAAAGTGGGTTTTACCCACATGCAGAGCATCCCCCCACCCCCGCCAGGGTACATCTCCTGGCCTGTCCTGTCCCAGTTCACCTCCCCCAAAGGGAACTTTTGGATACTGGCAAACATTGCTCATTCCCTGAAAGGCAGTGGTCACAGAAGGGGTGGGTAGGGCAGAGGGCACATGGGGGTCCCCGGTACGGGACCCTGTCCGTGGAGTTGGCTCTCCAAGCAGCGCCCAGGTCCCCTGACAGTGCGAGCCAGTTCCTGGGGCCGGAGGGACAACACCAGCTCTTTGTCTCCCAGACTGGGCAGGGTGAGGGGACGCCCCAGCCTGGGGGCTCCTCCCTCCCATAGGGCTGGGGCTAGGCCTGCAGCTTGAGGAGCCAGCGAGAAGCATCTCCTGACATCTCCTGGGGGGAAGACCTGCTGCGGGGGGAGGCGGAGGCAGTGCACCGGCCTGTGTCCAGCCTGCAGGCCCAGGGGCTGGGCTCTGGCTCATCTCAGCCTCTCCGTGGGGTGAGGGCCTGACCCCGAGCTACTCGGGGCCTCTCCCTCCCCGCACGTTGGCCACAGAGAGGGACAGGGTGGCAGCAGAAAGCAAGGCACACACCCACTCCTGGATGAGGAACCGGGACCCTCTGTGCCCCCTTCGTTCCCGCTCCGCATCCAAGCAAGGAAGGGGAGACAAGTCCTGAACCTGGTGCGGGCAGCCGAGAGACAGGAGGGTGGTCTGGTTCGCTTGCCTTGGCCCCAGGAACACTCTGTCCGTCGGCTCTGCCCTCACACAGCAGGAGCCCCTCTCGCGTGTCCCCCTCCCCTAGCCACCCAGGCTTCTATCAGCTCCGTGTGTCATTCTGAGGCCCCGGGGAGAGAGAAGGGGAGCCTGCCGAGGCCCTCCATCACCCCACCCCCTTCGAATGTGCTCGGAGGTCTCGCAGGGACCCGAGGGTGGTTCTGGGAAGGCCCTGCTCTGCGCTCGCTCGGGGTCCGTCCCTGTGCCTGGTCTCCCACGTGGCTGGCAGGGGGGCGCTCCTCGCCAGGCTTCCATCAGCCTCTTGCTCTGGGGAGGGGATGGTGGTCCCTCTCCCCACCCCTCGCCCCCTCCCACAAGAACCTTGGGTGGCGTTTAGCCCTGCGCCAGGTCAGGGCAGCGGGAGTGGGGTGGGGAAGCGGCACAAGAGGGCAGGTGGCCAAGGGCATTTTATTCAAGGTCTGCTGGGCAGAATTACAGAACCCATGAGGCCAGTCCCTCCCTGCCCCAGGCCCTTGGGTCTTAGGAGTTGGGGGGAGGTGACGACAGAAGGAAGTGTCTGCGTGGACAGGAGCTCCCAGGGCTGGTGGAGGAGTGTGAGGAGGGCGGGGCAGAGACTGGGAGTGGGGCCTGGAGGAGGGGCCTGGGCCCTAACACTCAGGGCATGCTGACCCCTGACCCCCAACCCAGACGCCCACTTTCTCCCTTGTGTGGGCAGCTGGGGGGCTGGGCCCCTTGAAGAAAGTGGAGATGAAGACTGTCTCCTTAATCTGATTGACAACTGGGTGGGAAGGGGGGGCTTGCCTCAATCTTCCTCACCCCTGCAATGCTCCCCACCTCCTTTTGTCCAGCTCCACCCCTTCAAAGCTGGGCCAGGCAAAGCCAGAAAGGAAGCAGACGAGAGGAGGGATGGAGTTTGGGGGACCCCCACCCCCTATCTCTTCCCCACCTAAGGAGGGTCCAAGGGCCACACTGCCTTGAAGTTCTCCAGCCGGGGGGACATGAGGTTTTTGTCCCCAGTTTTGGGTTCGTGAATGTCTGAGGAGAAGCCGTCCCTGGGGTCCAGGTGTCTCTTTGCACCTGTCATGGGACAGGGCTTCACCTCCAGGCCCTGGGGCCTCAGCGACAAGAGCCGGAGCCTCTCACCAACCCCCTGTCCCAGCCCAGCCGACAGGGGGAGTCCCAGAAAGGGGTGGGTCCCTGTGAGGCCCCTGGGCCCTGGGAGCAGGGTGTCTGGCTTGGAGGCCCCTGGGAACGGCTGCTCCGGGGGGACAGGAGGCAGGAAGTGCCCTGAGAAGTGGGCCCAGTCAGCAGGGAGGGAGGGTGGGAGGGGAGGGGCGAAGGATGTCAGACTGGGTGGCTGGTCTTGGAGGCTCCCCAGGAGGCAGCAAGGGCTGAGCTGGCAGGGGCCCGGGAGAGAGCCAAGGCCTGGAGAGAGAGCGAGAGGGGGAGAGATCAGGCGGGATGCCCCGCATCTCTACCCACTTCCCTTTCCTCTTCCTGGAAACTTCCTCTCCCCACTGTGCACCTCCCTGTCTTCTTTGCTTGGAGTCTCTTTCCTGGGGGCAGCCTGGCTGAGCCCTTCATGGCCCCTGTACTCTCCCGGGGGCCCCGATGGAGTGCGGCACTTGTGCTGTTACTTCCTGTAGGTCTGCGTCCCCGGCCCAGCCCAGAGGGGGCAGGCCTGCCTGCTGCGCTCTCCCTGGACCCAGCCCCACCGGGCGCTTTTAGGAGCTCAGTGACCGTGTGTGCAACGTGTGTGCAACGACTTGGAAGAGGACGTCCTTTGCCTAATCTCCGTGAATCTTGTCCTCACTCCCTATGGCCTGGAGCAAAGGGCTGAGGCTCTAGTGTGGGGCCCTTGGCTTCTCTGGTTGCCTCTGCTCCGCCAGGAGCCTCCTCCCCCCCGCCCCCCTCCCAGATCCGCCCTCACGGCCCCCTGCCCTCCTGCTCTGTGGGCATCCTGCAGTGGGGTGCCCAGGCCTGGCCCGGGACTCGGGGCGGCTAGCAGAACCTCACACCACTGTCTATGTTTCCAAAGGTCCGACTCCAATCCCTCTAGGTCCCTCCTTCGCAAGGCCACATCCTTTCATCGCAGAGCAGAGTGAGCGCAGCGGTGGGGCTGGACTTAGAAAAAGCTGGAAAAGCACATCAGTCACGACTGCACACACCGGGCAGATTGGAAAGGAACACTCTGAAGTCGGGGCTCTGAAGGGGAGAGTAGGACGTGGTCCTGCATGGGGCAGGGATGCCCCTCCCTGGGTCCCCGGGGTTACCATCCTCCACGTCCCCGGGTCTCCTGAGGCAGCAGCTCTGTGGGCCCTGGGCGGGGGCTGAGTCGGCGCAGAGGAGCGGGTTCTGAAGGAGCTGCCCTGCCTCACCTCCTGGCTCCTGCTGCCCCTGCCTCCGAACCCTGACCTCTCTTCCTCCCTAAAGCGGTGTCCTGCTGCTAAGGGGCGGCTCTAGCCTTCTGGAATCCCAGCCCGGAAGTGGGCCCGGGGCTGCTCTCCCCTCCTGGGGACCTAAGCCAGGCAGGGCACGTGTGGGTGCCTGAAGAGGGCAGGGAGGAGCACGGAGCTCCCTCCAAGCTGGGGCTCGCCGGGACACTGTCTCCCGCTCACGGTTTCCCAAAGAGAAAGCTGTATGCCCGAGGCAGTCCCATAGCCGGGGGCAGGGGGGTGGGGAGTGGGGTGGGGTGGAAGATCAGGGGTGCCGTGCGGGCTCCGTCTAGCTCCAGGGGCAGGCGGGTGGCCATGCGAGTCCCGGCATGTCCTGGGCGGCCCACACCTGCAGCCGCAGCAGCACTCCGGGGCCCAGAGCCAGGCCCTTCCGGGCGCCCAGCTACCTACGCTGCGGGTAGGGCTAAGGCCAAGGGTCTAACCCCATGAAATTGCTGGGAGAGGAGGAGCAGCAGGTCTGGGACCTCTGTATGGAGCCTTGGGCTACTGGAGGGTCCCTGGGAACTTCCTCACAGAGAGAATCGCCTCCCTGTTTACAGCCCTGGGAGAGCTGGCCTCTGCCTCCATTTCCATGGTCTCCCCCTGGGCAGTGCTGGCCTTTCCCAGAGCCTCTTTCCTGCCCCAGGGCCTTTGCAGATACTGTTCTCTCTGCTTGCCATGCTCCCCTCCCTCTCTCTCCTGTCAGCCCTCCTTCTCCACCTGGTATGGGTGGCTTCGTTCCGGCCCCATCATCTTCTGCCTAAGTGACCCTCCCCAGCCGACCAGCACCAGACACACGCCTCCTGGAACCCCAGCTCTGCATAGACCCCAAGTCATCTTTCTGAGATAAAAATCTCATCACGCCTCTCCCCTCCGGGGGGCCTCCCACCCATGGGGTTCAGTCCCACCTGTTAGCGTGGCTCTGAGTCCTCGTGACCGGACACCTGCTGCTTGGCCAGCTTCATCTGTCCCCCTCCTCCCTGCCCCACACCCTCCGCATCCCTTGTCCCCGAGCATGGCAGGCCCCCAGGGCGCTTCAGCTTTGCTGCATCTGCTCTCTGCTGTCCAAAAGCTATTCCCTCTGCCTGGGCATCTCCTGCACCTGCTTCGCCAGCCCAGGGGTCGCTCTCCTACAGGACGCCCGCCCCTCCTCTGCGTTCCCGGAGCTCCTGGCTCTTCCCTGAGTCTCGCCCCGGTCACCGACCAGACCATCCAAGCCCGCACACCGGGGGGGTAGCCGGGGCTCGGTTTGTGGAAGGGTGAATGGCGCGTAGTAATCCTTGTCTCAGCCTCCCACCCTAGCGCACCAGCACTGGCCCTGGCGGTCCTCCCCTCCTCTGCTTCCCATCCCTGGGCCCTCTGCAGCTCCAGCACTCATGGGGGGCGCCGCTGCTGCTCCCCTTCTTGTCCTCAGTGGCCTCTGGCAGCCCGTGGGGGGTCTGGTGTCCAGCCGGCTGCTCAGCCGTGGCCCGCTGGGCAAGCAGCAGGCTATGCAGGAGCTGGGGCGGGGGTGAGAAGCAGTGGTGGGGTGGGACGGGTTTGACCGGCCTGTGCTCCCCAGTTCACACGGTGCCCAGAGCCACTTGTCCGCACAATGGAGTGTTCTCAGAATGGTTGTTAAACGGTCACTGCCCACACGCCCGGGGCCTCCCCTGGCACCGCACCACCGGAGGACTGACGCCTGGCAAGGAAGGAGGCGCCCTCACTCCCAGGTGTGTGCTGCACCGTGAACCACGCAGGGGTGAGTCACGGCGTCGCTCCTGCCCTTGGGCGCTCAGGGACTACAAGGCAGGGGGAGGGCAGGGGGTCTCCCGGGCAGAAGGGCCCGGGCTGTGGGGGCACCTACCTCGCTGGGCAAGCCCGTGGGCAGCAGGGCTGGCCAGAGGAGGGCGGGGGCCCCCAGCAGCACTTGGGGGGGGAGGCGGAGCCCACACCTCACACAGAGGGTGGTTGACCACAACCAGCCTGCTGAAGTTGAACTTGTATGTGAACCGTTTGCCTTTGGTCTTGTGCAGGATCCTCCTGTTGTAGTAGTATCTGCACGGTCGGAGGTGGAGGGCGCGGGCTTGGCCCAGGGCCAGCGAGCCAAACCCCAGCTCGGGGGTGGGGCGGGGGGGTGTGACAGGGACCCTGACCTCTGACCCCTCGGCCCCGCCCCTGCTCGTCCCCCCTCACCGGAGGGCCCGGCTCAGCTTGTCGTAGTTCATCTGGGGTTTGCACTTCCTGCGGCCCCAGAGGCGGGCCACCTCGTCGGGGTCCTTGATGACGAACTCCCCGTACTCCCCCTGCTGCCAGGCGAGGACGTGGCGGAACTCCTCCTTCCGCAGTGGCTCCAGGATGAAGTGCCACCGCCGGACCTGCCGGGAGCCCGGGGACGCCTCGGCCTTGCAGGCCCAGTCCGGGAAGGCCACGCCTGGGGGCAGCGGTGTGAGTGCCACCCGGCTGCTCGCGCGGAGGCCCCCCGGCCGCCCCTGCCCCTGCTGCGGGGGGCCTGGGGGGCTTGGCAGAGGCTCACCTGAGATCCAGGGGCTGCCCGGGCCGGCAGGGGCGCCCTCGACTGTGCAGCTGCACTGCATGGTCCTCCCGGGGGGGGCAGCGAGGGCCGCGTCTGGGCCTGGTGGGAGGCGGGTGCTGCTGAGGCAGGAGGCGAAGGAGGAAGGCAAGAGAAGCGGGGAGACTCGAGGGGCGAGCGGAGACTGAGGCAGGACCCTGGGGCGGCCCGCCGGCAGGAAGCTCCCCGCACCATCCCGAGGGCCAGGCCGGCCTCCTCTGGGGGTCTCCTGCGGGCCAGGGCTTGGGGCTGAGCCACCTACAGGTGGGTCCCATACCCTGCCCCTGCGGGGGGACGCACACAGGATGGGCTCTCTGTTCAGGGCTCACGGGATCGGAGGTTTCCCCAAGAGAAGACGTGAGAAAATGTAATTAATTGGTGGGTCCTGGTCAACCTTGAGGAGATGCGCAAACCCGTAGCTCTGTGGCCCAGGTAGCTGGTTGCGAGTGTGGGGAGACCTGGGATTGTGCTTTTCTCAGCGGGGGTTTGCCGAGCGGGCCCAGGCCTGGAGGGCTGGGACTGTTCCAGAAGGGCTGGCAAGGGCATCCACGGGGGGCAAAGAAGTTATCCACGGCGTTCAGTATCTGTCTTCCCCTCAGAGTGGCAGCTCGAAGGCGTCAGGAATCTCCGCCGTCTGGTTCATGGCCGGCCGGCTCCCCAGGGGCCTGCCCAGCACTGGCCTCCGACCCGCAAGTGCTCTGTCAGTGTCCACTGAGTTACCGAACCCCGGGCCCTTGGATAGTGGGATCTTGTCTGTACCCAGACTGGCGGGAGGCATGGCGGTGAGATGGGGGGAGGATGGGGAGTGGGCCCCCACGGCTGGATCTTGCCTGATGCAGGCCAGGGCCGCGGGAGGAAGTGTTCATATCCTAGAGCCTTCCAGATGGGGTCAAGGCTGGCACTCCGGGCCAGCTCCCACTGTCACTGAGGGCAGAGTGTCGGGGGGATGCGGGATGTGGGCCCGCTCCTGGCGTAGATGGTCCCTGCACGGGCAGGATCGTGTGTGCACTGGAGACCAGCTTGGGTGACCTGACTCTGGGTTTGCAGCTCGGGGGAAGTCGGGCAGAGGGAGGGCTGCTCTCGGCTGGAACTTAGGAGGCCAGAAGGGCTGGAGGCCATGTGGAGGCTTGGCTGGAGTGGCCGCCTCACTTCCCAGACAGCTCACCAAGGAAGAGCCTCCTGATGCACGGCTCCTAAGGCACAGCACCTGCTTGCTTGCCGAGGTTCTCAAACGTTAAGGATCCCCTGGGAATCTCTCTGCAATGCAGATTCTGATGCTGTGGGGCTGGATGGTGCCTGAGAGTGTGGATTTCTAATATGCTCCTGGGTCCATGGACCCTGCTGTAAGCAGGGACCCTCCTGAGAGTGGAATCGGGGAGGGGGTCAGGACGGCTCGGGATCCCAGACACCTCAGCTGGTGAGACACTCTTGTCCCCCCACTCCAGAGGTCATATGGGTCTCTTGCTTTCCCTTTCCCAGGGTGTCAACGGACAAACTGACAGCTCCTGGGGAAGGTGCTTCTGGGGGTCCCCAGTCTGGCCTGAGCAGAAAGCATCCCTGGAAATTAAGGTGGCCGAGGGCGAGCGGGTCCACGCCTACTTGGAGTCTGTGGGAGTAGGTTTTCCCACCCATCCCTCTGCCAGCTGACATTCTGGAAATTCTCCTGGTTCTTTCCTCCCCTGAAGCGGATGCCTCCACCCCCTCCCACCTTCCTTTCCTGCCTTGTCCATTGGGAAGTTCCTCCTGTCTCAAGCGGGTTGGGAACCCTCCACCTCACCTTAGGAAAATGGGTTGGGAGATGATCGAAGGTAGAGCAGGGAGGGGCGTGGAGGTGAGAGGTCCCAGGGGAACACTGTTCTATGGAGGGAGCTGGTGGGATTCCTACAGCTGCCCCCATGCCACTGGTCTGGAGGATTGGAGACTCCAGGGAACCTAGGGAGCTCAGTTCTTAAGCATCTGCCTTTGGTCATGATCCTGGGGTCCTGGGATCGAGTCCCACATCAGACTCTCTGCTCAGCGGGGAGCCTGCTTCTCTCTCTGCCTCCCCATGCTCTCTCTCTAATTAATGAATAAAATCTATTTTAAAAAAAGGAGAATGATAAATCCACGGCAGAGCAGACCCTCAGTGTGCCCTGTGTCCCGCCCAGGAATCGACATGCCCGCCCCAAAACCTCATCGGAACTATCTGAGACGGAGCTCAGAGAGGTGGAGGAACTTCTCTAAGGCCACACAGATCTCAAGTGAAAGAGCGGAAAGCAAGACCTTAATTTGAGATATAAAATATTCTGCCACCCAGGTGGGCTACCAATACCCTGTCTGGCCCTCAAAGGGAAAAAAACCCCAAATACAAAAACCAAAGTGGCATCAGTGGCGAGGTCAAGCCTGCCCTCGCACCCCTCCCCATTTTCCAGCCTCCTCCATGTTTATGGGAGTCCCTCCTGGATCCCCAAGTCTTTGAGGAGCTTGTCGCCTGGATGTGGACGTCCTCCCTGCCATTGAGTCCTGCCCAACATCTCCCCTCAAGCCCCCTCCTTCTGTGCTAGAGCCCCGAGGAGCTGACCCAGCCTCAGACAGGCTCTAATCCCCGCTCTGGTGATGAGGCTCCAGAGGCTGGGGGAGGCACCCCGCTCTGTCCCCCAGTCCTGCACCCGAGGCCCCTGGCTTCATCCCTCTGGTGTTGCCTGGTGCCCAGGGTGAAGGGCTGCAGGCCGGGGTAGGGGTGGTCTCTCATGGCTCCTCCAGCTCCAGGCTGGGGTGGGGGACTATCCGGCAAAAAGGGTCCTAACTCTGGGAAACTCCGTCATTAAAAGGTTGTAGCAACGCCCCCGTGGCCCGCTGCCCGGGCACCGGCAGTCTCCTTGGCCGTTGCGAGGGCCCCTTACAACCCATGTAGGGTTTAGGTCAGGATTGAGAGATGCAGCATAGAGAATGCTGGTGACAAGAGGGAGGGAGCCTTATGCCAGGGCGTGGAGCTCGAGGAAATATCCCGGGCAGATCTGATCTTTCTGAGTTGAGTCAAGAGGACTGGGGTCCCTATCCCGCCCGGCACGGGGCTTGACGTTTCCCCCAAAGCTACGGCACTGAATCTTCACGATAACACCTTGACGTGGCCACTCACATCCCCATTTTACAGGTGTTGGAAATCAAGGCTCTGAAGAGGAGACGTGCGGAAGATTCCAGGGCGAGGGGCAGAGCTGGCCGGCGGGGAACGGGTCTGTCTGCCTCCGAGCTCTGAGCAGTAATCACTCAGGGGGCCCTAGGAGCTGAGGCCGAACCCCGGGAGTGGAGCGGGCGGCTGGGCCCTGGGCCCTGGAGGAGACTTCCCGGTCTCAGCTGAGCTGTGACGCTTGGGGACGCTCTGTCAGATGGGGGGATGGGAAAGACGGGGAGACACTCAAGAAGAAACAAAGTTGCTAGTTCAAGACCGATGCTGCCTCCCTAACTGAGGAGCCAGACTTGCAGCAGAAGGGGCTTTGCCGCTGGGCCTTCTGAGACGCCGACCTGGGTGACTGCACGTTGGCCTCAGCCGGGTCCTCTCAGCGAGCCCCTGACTGATCTGGCAGGAGAGCAGCGGAGAGGAAGGGTGCCTGTGCACACAGGCTAGGATAAGAGGGTCACAGTGGGGGACAGTGGACACACAGAGATGACAGCCTCCAGGTGGGGGGGGGCAGGGGTTAGGCTGGTCAGCGCAGAGCCAACTGCCTGGCCCCTGCCCCCACCATCAAATCCCAATCTGATTAGAAGCCTTTAGTCTGTCCCCTTGATCTCAGTCCCAAGTGGAGAGTAGGTAGTCCTGAGACCTCCCTAATGCTATTAGCTAAAGCTGCTTAGGTAGGGGTGCGAGGGGTGGGGGGTGCCGGGGAGGGGCCAAGACCCCTGGAGGTCTGGGGGAGGGGCAGGGATAGATATTCTTTCTTCCCGAGCCCCCAGGGCATCTTGCTCCTTGGCCAAGTCCTCAAGCCCAGGGAGCGCTTCCTGGTGCTCCTCCAGCTGACCCCTCCCCAGTAACGTCAGCCCTTCCTGCCAGCCACCCTCCCGGAGACGTGCCCCTCCTTGCCGCTCCCCTAGAAGGGTCCCCAGGCAGGCCTGATTCTCCCACAGCTGTCACCCCTCCAGGGGCCTTCGGGTCCCAGGTTGCTGCGTCCCCCCCACACCCCCAGCCCGGTCCCTTGCAGACCCTCCGACTCTGGTCTCTGCGTCCCTGGGGGCCGTGGGCTAGAAAAGGTTTGTGCAACCACAAGCAGAAATGAAAAGCCAGACACCCCCAGGCCCTATGCCAGACCTGTCAGAAGGGCAGCTGAAGGCTGAGGGGAAAGTGGCCTAGCCCTGGGACCAGGGGTTGGGGGAAGGGCCCCGGGGGTCAGGAGGCAGGCTCCCAGCCCCGCACCCTCCCCTCTCCCCTCTCTGGTCTCTGTTCCCCTTGCTTTGACCTTTTCATCTTCAGCTCATTTCCTGCTTCCTGACTATTTCTTCTCTCTCCTTTCCAGTCCCGTCCACCAGGCTTCTCGAGTCTTCCCTCCCCAGCGTCTGCTCCGTCCTCTTCTGTCTCGGTTTCGAGGCTGTTCCTTCTCCGTCTGTTTCGTCTGTTTCTCGAGACCGAGACCGCACCATGCGCCCACCTCCAGCCTCTCCCCGAGCTCCTGCTCTCTGTCTCACCCATCGTTCGGAGCTGGAAACGGAATGCAGCCCCCCAGCTGCCTGGCCCGACCTCTGCAGCCCCCTCATACCACCTGCCTCCCTCCCAATGCCCCCCAGCGCTGCACCCCTCCCGGGGCAACCCCAGGCTCATTTCCTTTCATCTCATTCCCGGCAGGCAGCTGCGCCCTGGGGATGCCCCTGCCTGGACATCCCCGGTCCTTCCCTTTGTCCACCCCCAACCCACCCAGGGACAAGAAATCCCCTCCAGCAGGCGCTGAGGTGGCCGAGGAGCCAGGCCAGGCCGGCCAGAGGAAGTGAAACTCTCAGCCAAACGCTAAGCTGGGATGGCAGGCAGCGGGGTCTGAGCACACCGGGACCAGTGTTTCAGGACCTCGCCAGCTGCTGGGGGCCTCTGCCACCTTCTGACTCACCCCCTCAAACCCCAGTTGACGTCCAGCCTCCACCTCAACCCTGTCTTCACCCCAATCCTAGTGAACCCTGTCTTCCACTTCTGCTAAGCCCCGAGCCTGCGTGAGGACCCACTCCTCACCGGCCCCATGGCCCCCCGAGCAGGGCCAGAAAGGCGCTTGGACCTGGGGCAACCGGGGTCCCACACTCCTCCCTGGCCCTTCTCTTGTCCTTTGGGAGGGACTGAGGGGGGCCGGCGCGCTTCACTCTGCCTCTCTAGCCTCACGGAGCCTGCACCTGCCCTAGGGCCCAGGGCTCTCAGACTTCAGTCTTCTTGGACCCAGCTCTTGGGAAGGATGCCAGGAGTCATAGGAAGGGAGACAAGCCAGCACAGGGGACAGAATCCCCCTACCCTGTCTGAGGTTTCGATCCAGTTCACACCAGCCTGGCTTGGATGGGAGCCCAGCCTTAACTCTCCGACCCCGGGACGTCTGCCCAACCCCTGCCCGCTCCTCCCCATCCCCAGGCTGGGGTGCCCACACCCCCACATCAGTCCTCACCCTCAGCCCTGCGGATGGTGCAGTGAGCTCTGGGTGAGCTGCTGCAGGTAGAGCCCGCAGGGTCACCTGAGCCCGTCCTCCCCTCGGGCCCAGCCTGACTGGACCCCGTGAATGCCAGGAGTCCCGTCTGCCCCAGCAAGCTGACACCTGACCCACCAGCGCCAGAGGGGGCAACAGCTGTCTTTGTGAGCTCCCCACTTCTTTCTGCCCTGACTGCCTGGCCCCCGGCTCTGCGGCTGTCCCACAGTCGATGGAGGAGGAGGTGGCCCCCTTGCAGACAGTCTCGGCGTGGCCCCAGGGCACTTGTCTCCACCAGCGCCCCTGTCTCCTTACGAGCCCCCTTCCCCCGCGTCTCCTAACAAGCCCCCTTCCCGATGGCTCCACAGTGGGGTCCACAGCTGGGGCAGGGCGGGGGGGGCAGGGCCATCCCCCTGCCACCAGTGTCCCTTACCTCGGTGCAGCGGCGGTCCCTGGCTCCGTCCCCGCTTCCGCAGGCGCACTCTTCTCGCAGCGGCCCTCGCGCATCACACCCGAGTTAGGGTTACTTAAAATGAGAGCGGGATCTCCAAGCTCCCAGGGGAGCTGATGTGGTTTTCAGTCAATAGCATTAACCCTTCAGGGGCCAGTGGCATGATGGCCTGCGCCCCTCCAGCTCAGCGAGGGCTGGAGTGGGAGGGGGTCTCTCTCGGTGGGTCCTGAGCATCTAGAGCCTGCCTCGGGGGCTAGTGGCTCCGAAAACATGGGGCCAACGCAGATGCTGCTGAGAAGGCCGCATGTCCTCCGTTGCAGGAAAAGGGACCCTGAAGGCGGGGAAGTCCTTCCAGCTGTCTACCCTTCCCTAGACAACCAGCCCTTCCCTCAGGGGGCTTTCTGTGGCGGTAGAGCCCAGGCCTGGATGAGCGCCCCCTTCGAGACCTGGGCCTCTTCCCACCTGGGTCCCAGGCCCCGGACCTGCTCACAGGGTGCCCTGAACCCTCACCTCTGATGTCGTCTCTGAGCTGCGCCCATGAGAGGCTATGAATGGTTTAGCCCGTGTGTAAGCACTTAGCCTCTTTCTTCCTGGAGTTCTGGAAGATGATTCTTCCCTTTCTCTACTAATGTGACTCAAAGCTAGACAGCAAGAAGAACTTCCAGCTCAGGCATAATAAACCAGATTATGGGGCATCGGAGACCCTGCTATGGAAGCAGCAGGATGGATTCCAGAACACACTGGGAGGGGGACGCTCGCCCTTGGGAGAGGCTTCTCAGGGGGAACAGAGAGCCTCTGTCTTTAAAGTCCTGGGGACGCCTGTTGGGCCCGGAGCCCGTCTCCCCAGTGTCCTGCAGGGAGGG